TAGCTAAGTAATATTCCAATACTATGAATATACCACAATCTATCTGTTCATCTATTAGTGGATATTTGGCTTATTTCCAGTTTTAGGTTATTTTGAATTAAGCTGCAGTTAATATTCTTGAGCAAGTCTTTATGTACATATACGTTCATTTCCCCTGGGTAATCATCCAGAAATGGAATTACTAAGTTAAGGGTTCAACTTTATAATAAATTGCCCAACAGTTTTCTATAATGGTTGTGTCATTTTATACTCCCACTGGCAATGAATAAGCAATCTAGTTGCCAAAAACGCTTATTAGCATATGAAGTTATCAGTCTTTTTCATTTTAGCCATTCTGTTAGGTATATATTGTATGTAACCATATCTGTTAGGTATGGTATTGTAACTGAACTAACTTAAGTTCCCTCTTTGGTGTGTCACAACCAGGTGGAGTTGTCACACAAAGTAAACTTTATTTGCAGCAAATAAAGAGATTACAGAGAATAACTTCCAAAGCCTTGAGTCCCTAAGAAAGGGTGAATGTGGTTCCTTTTATTTAGGGTTAGGAAGAATATTCAGAAGGGAGCCTGGCATTGCATGTAGAGGCAGGCATAGGGTCGCACATGCACCTAAAAGAAACATGCTATTCATATATTGTATGTTGAGTAAATGAGGATTGTGTTCCCGTTTCCTTGGGTAGAGATTTCATATAGTATTATATAATAATAGAGTATTAAAATGAGGAAAAGCTAACTGTTGGATCACTTCACAGGTCAATCCATGGCCCATCTGTGCAGGTGTGAGCCAGGGTTTGAGCTCAAACTGCTCTGGGTGGTATTCAGGGGAACTCTGCCCAGTCATTCCTTATTTCTTGAAGGGTAGTTTTACTTTCCATCACAGTGTGGGTGCTATGCAGCTCCTGCAGGTCTTTTGTCTGAGCTAAGCTGCAAAGAGGAGCTTAAGGATAAATGTGGGACAAAGGTCAGCGAGTAAGAATAGATGAGCAGTAAAAGTCAAGTCTTGGGGTCTGGCTGATGACAATGTTTCAGTATGATTTTAGTTTGCATTTCCCAGATGCTGAGCATCTTTTTACGTGATAATTGGCCATTCTTATGTCTTTGTGAAGTTATCTGTTGAAATGTGTCCATTTTAAAAATAATTTTTTAAAAAATTACTGAGTTGTGCTGTTGGTAACTGACCTCTGTGCTTAGGGGCCAAAATATAACACAAAGATAGAGTTTGGAATAAAGAAGAACTTTACTGCTTTGCCAGGCAAAGGAAACTGCAGCAGGCTAAGGCCTTCAAAAACTGCAAGCCCCCCTACAGAAGGGGACTGGGAGTTTTATAGGGAAAAAAGAGGATCTCGCCAATTTCGACAGGAATTGGGAAGGTGCTGCCAGCCTCTGTAGTAGTTTTCAGGGTGGTACTGGGTTCCTGAAACAAAAGGTTGAGAACAGAAGAGGGGAGGTTTGCAGAGGGAGGAGGGAGGTTTGTGGAAGAGAGGTTAAAGGATACTCAGTTTCAAATCAAGCTTTGGGAAAGCATTAGTGCAGCCATTTGATTTTTGCTTAACTTTATGCTTTAAATTTTTTTTTCATTTTAATTTTTTAAAAAAGATTTCATGTAGGGACGCCTGGGTGGCTCAGTTGGTTGGACGACTGCCTTCGGCTCAGGTCGTGATCCCGGAGTCCCGGGATCGAGTCCCGCATCGGGCTCCCGGCTCTGCGGAGAGTCTGCTTCTCTCTCTGACCTTCTCCTCGCTCATGATCTCTCTCACTCTCTCTCAAATAAATAAATAGAATCTTTAAAAAAAAAAAGATTTCATGTATTTATTTGAGAGAGAGAGAGCGCGCGTACCCCATGTGAGAGAGTAAAGGGAGGAACAGAGGGAGAGGGAGAGAATCTCAAGCATATGCCCTGCTGAGCACTGAGACCCTGAGATCATGCCCTGAGCAGAAACCAAGAGTGGATCACTTAACCAACTGAGCCACCCAGGTGCCCATTATGCATTTTTTAAAAAAGTTATTTATTTAAATAATCTTTATACCTAACATGGGGCTTGAACTCAACCCCCTCGCCGCCCCCCCACCTGAAATCAAGTCAGGTGTTCCATCAACTGAGCCCACCAGGCCCCCCTCAACTTTATGATTTTAAGCAGTTTCAGTAGGGGTTCTTTAAATATTCCGACTATGAGTCCTTTTCATTTGTGTGTATAAAGATCCCCCCCAATCAGTTTGTGATTTGCTTAGTTATTTTCTTAATACTGTCTGTTGATGGATATAAATTTCTTATTTTGGTAAAATGTATGTTTTTTTAAATTGCTAGTTCTCCATGACTTAAAGATTTTCTGCATGTCTCAGAGTTTACTATGTGCTGTGTGCTCTAAGTGTCTAGAATATAAAGAGTTAAGTGTATTTTTCTTAGTTAAGTGTGTTTTTCTTAGTTCTACCTATATGGCATTTTGTTGTTCTTAAATTGTTACAAAGCCATAGTCCAGACCAGTGGTTCAAAATTTAATGAAGTGTATTCATTGTCCTAGAAATTGTTAAAAGTAAGATTACAGGGCTTCACTCCTACAGAATGAGTTTTGTTTCATAGTTTCTATTGTGCAGGCAGGTTTGCAAATCATTCATCTAGAAATCTATACTTAAAGCTGCTCCACCTACCATTTTCTCAGTGCGAAGGCAGCATAATGTTAATAGAAATGACCTGTTGCATTTTAATTGTTGGGTGCTGTTACCACCAGTGCCTTTTACTATGCTTTGAAATAATTAGAAGGCACTGGGTGGAAAAGCACTGAAAAACTTTACTTAGATTCTGTTGCAATACGGCATAACTGAATAAAATATTTCAGGACACGAAATCGACTGCACGATCTCCGTGCTTTCCAACTGTGAGCTCTTGCTTTTCTTCTGCAAGAGAAAATTGCAACAAGTCTTCACAGGAAGTTTTTTTGTTTCTTCCTTTCTTCTTCTTTTTTAAATAAACTGGTTCTCCCAATAGTTTTGCTAATGGACCCTAACTTGACATGCAATTAAACATGAAACTTCTCATTGGGTATTTTCAAGACTGCCAGGGGGAATCAGCTGCCAGTTTACTGCAATGTGGAAAACTGCATGAGATTCTGGGATTGGAATCAAAATGCTAATTTAAAAGGTCGAGTGAAGCTGAAGCTCACGTTTTTGTGTGCCTGCGCTCTCTTGAGGCAGAACAAAGACCCAGGCAGAAGAGGCAGAGGCTGAGACTCACCCCAAATCTGTTTTCCTGAGATAATTTTGGAATCATGCCTGAAATGCCGGAGGACATGGAACAGGTAAGAGCTAGCTGTTCAAGAAATGAAGCATTCTGGAGTTAGTGTCTTTAAAAAGCATCCCAGTGAATGTCTGGTAAAAACCAAAACGGTGTGTTAAAGAAAAAAAGAAGCGGGTGTCATTCATTTGTTTAAAACATGTAACTTTGGGACATGGAAGGATAAACCAGTTTTAATTATTGACTCTGGGAACCAGGTTTTCAGCTAAGTCTCATTAACTGACCAAAAAAAAAAAAAAAATGCAAAACAGAACAGCAGTTTCCTTTACCAAATTATATGCAGTGATGTAGGTGAAGGTTCTATATAAGTAAGGATTTTATCTTTAATTGTGTGCTCCTGCCTTTGTCTTAGCATGAACTGAATCTGCTAACAAAACTTTAGCTCCAGGCTGCTCTCTTTGAATTTATAGACTTAGCCACCACAGGAACTTGGATATTGTATGTACAACGGTGGCATTTTTGTTCACAGAGAAACTTTAATCTTTAAAGAGAATGAATAAAAACTACACATGAACATATACCTCTAGAACTATACTCTGGTTTTACTGGGAGGTATCACACCAAATTCTCAAAGGTAGGCAAGAAAACTCTTGTTCTTAACTCTGGACAAAGCTGCTCTGAGAATCAAAAAAATAGTAATTGCATATGCATGTCCTTAAATCTTCGCACTGTACACTTTAAAAAAAAAATCAGAACGATCAGGTTGCATCACACGTCGCTTCTAGAAATTAACAACAAAAATCCCAGTTTTTAAAGAGGATTAGGAGGATCTTGAATTTGCCTCCCCTACTCACCCACGGACACTCACCTTTTCTTTGTGTGCAGATTATGAATGTTTAATGCTGGGGCAGCCCTCTCGAGGACTCTCTGAATAATGCTAAATTGATTAACAGTAACAGTTTGGGAAAAAACAAAAATCGGAAAGCGGGGTGGGGGGGTTGGGGGAGTTCAGGCTCTCTTCCCCCACCGTTCCAAAGAAAGACTGTTTACTCGAATTAAGAAATGAGTTCTTGTTGGGGGCGTTGAGTAGAAAGGAAATTCACGGGGCTCAGACAAAGAAAAACTTTTTCAAAAGGCTGCTTAGTCTTTAGCTCTGAAATAAACCAAAAGGGATTATGAAAATAAGGCCTTTTCAGAAAAATCCAAGCCGCGGTCACGCGTGTGGGCGACTTTTAAGCCCCGTGTCCGGCGTGTCTGGGTCAGAACACTCGGGACTGTTGGGTGCATGCCCGCGGAGCCTACAAGGTCCATGGCGGGTTTTTTCCTGGGTAAATTTCACAGGTGTCCCAATGGACACGGATTGTTGCTGTTTTGAGCTGGGAGGGAAACCAGTTGCCTGCGAGGTCTTTCTCAGCCCTCAGGGCTGTTGTTTCTGATTCGTGCTTTTAGGAAGCCGTGCAAGTGGTGGAGGGTCTAGCGTTACTCTGCTCGGTTTCTTCAATTTGCGGCGGTTGCGGAGGCCAAGCTGGCTTGGCCGGACCAGGCAGTTCCTGACGCGAGCGCTTCTCCAAGGGGGTCGGTAGGTTCCGGTTCCTTCCGCTAACTAAAATGTACAGTTCCCGGGTCTATTACCACAAATTCTCGTTATGTATTTACGGGTACAGTCCGAGAATCTATTTTGAAGAGGCTCCCGGATAATTCCTCCCCCATCCCCACCCCCCCAACTTTTTTTTTTAACTGGTTAAGAATAGTTTGACTTCTTTAGAATTTAACACGTACCACTTTTTAGCATCCCAGAAAGACAAAATGGGCTGTTGAGGTGTTAATGACTCAGATGCCAACACTTGTATTTTTATTCTTTGTCTTTCTAAATCTCTGGGAAAAACAACAACAACAACCTCCAAATTTTGCAGAGATGGAGGTCTACTGTCCTCCCTCTTCCTGGTCTTCCCCAAACCTACCCCCTGGCTTTAAAATGTTTTCTCCTACTTTATGTATTACGTGCCCAGTTGGCTCTTACGCACAGGGCAGTCTGGAAACTTGAAACTCTAGGCAATCCAGTTCAGTTCTTCCCTAGACCAGAACAAAGGCAAAGACAGAAAAAAAGTACAGAGACAACCCCTCCCCACACAAAACTTGTATTCAGTGCCTAAGGCCAAGGCCTTTGTTTTGTGTATTCCTTTAAGAGTTGGCGAGTGGGCTGGGAGCGTACTGAACGCGCCCGCCCCCTTTCTGGGGCATCGGCTGAGCGTGGCCAATCAACGGGCGAGGCCTTGGCGGCGGAAGCCGGAAGCGGAGAGCGGGGGCTGGCCCGGACCTAGGGAGGCGGGCCGAGGACGACGCAGCTGCGGCCCGTGGCGATCCTGGGCTGGAGGAAGTGGCGGTCGCTGCGGCGGCGGCGCGAAGACGGCGGGCATGGTGGGGCGGGAGAACGAGCTCTCCATCCACTTTGTTCCCGGGAGCTGCCGGCTGGTGGAGGTGAGGGAGTCGGCCCGGGGGTCTCGTAGGAATCGGGAATGCAGAGGGGGGACGAGCCAGGTCGCGGGGGCTCGAGTGATTTACCCTGCGCATCCTGCAGAAATCCCAGCCCCTGACTCTGAGTCGCCGCAGCACCTCCCTCCTAGCGCTGGTTGGAGAGGGCGGCGCCACCGAGTTTGTTTACCTCCGTGCTCACCCGTCGGTGTTTGCTCTTCCAGTCCTGCGGCAGGAAGCGAGTGGGTCTGGTTTCACTCTGGTGTCTTCGGTCTTCCCTCCCGGAAACGAAGAGGGGCTTTCAGAGCTCTTTCGGTTTTGTTTTATCTCTCTGAATTTCTTCTTCATTCTTTGTTCGTATGTCTCGATCTTACCAGTTTTTATCTGAGAACGAAGGGGAAAGTGATTTTTTAAAAACAGCGGATTTGGAGATGACAAGTTACTGAAATCTTAGTGCAAGGCACTATGTATACACTTTACATGCATCATTTAATCGTCATAACAGTGAGATACTGTTTTTGCTCCATTTTACAGAGGAGAAAATTGAGGTTTACAGGATGAGCCTTCGGCCAAGTTCATTCAGTAAGCTTGGAGCCGGGATTCAGATACAAATCTCTTTCACTTTCTCAGGCTTTGAACCACTATGGAGGTTACATAAAGGAAGATTGTTACTGTGGGAGAACTATCCCAGACGTCTTCCGTCTCCATGCTTTCTTGTGTTTCATTTCTGGGCCTCCCAGCATTCAATCCACAGAATGTATCTAGCAATGGCGAAAAGAAGAATGTTAATGCCTAGACCGATATGTCTTACGGAAATAAGAGATGTGGGAGATGGCTGTTTTTGATACTGTTTTTGATACTGCAGAATTTTTATGCTTCCAAGAGTATATTTGGTGTTTCTAATCAGTTTGGTGTTTGGGGGGTAAAGTTAGGCTAGATGGACTATGAAAACTTATGTATTGTTCCTATGTGCCCTTCAAAGTACTGAATGCATAATGTTACATATTGTTTACATACGTATGCGTGTGTGTGTGTGTGTGTGTGTGTGTGTAAAGCTTAATGTTTCACAGTAGGAGTTCAGTAGATTAATGAAAATAGGTTTTCATGATTTCACTAAAAACGATACACCCTAAATCTTATTTTTTTTAAGGATTCTTTTAATTTTAAAATAATCTGCACCCATAGTGGGGCTCACGCTCATAGCCCTGAGATGAGAGTGTAAAGCTGTACAGACTGAGCTGGCCAGGGGCCTCCACCCTAAATCTTGACACGTATTTTCTGCTCTCTCAAAACATGTAGAACTAAAATTCACTTGTGAGAATGAGGACTGCCTTACTGCTTACATTGGAGAAGGTGACTATGGTGGTACCTGTTAAGACTGTCTTGAAGGGTAGAAATAGGGTGACAGTAGCAGTTAGACCAGTGTCACCTAGATAGTTATGGAATCTTGAGTTTCTTCGTGTCCGGTAATGTCTACTCAGAGATCTGCCTCCAGGGGAATGTTGTATGAGAGGATCAGTTAAAGAAAGGAAGAGGAAACTGCCATATCTAAGAGGTTCTAAAAAGAGCAAAGTATTTTATTTACCACTAAAATTTAAGAAGATCTCTATTTAAATGTTACTGATGTCTCATTCTTTTTCTAGGACGTTTTTTAGAAGTTAATGCTTCCACTGAAGTGGAAATCACTGTCCCAGAGTAGTGTTGGACCATTTTGAAAGAGCCGTCTGTATCATTACCTGTAGTTTGGTGGCATTTGATTTGGTAGCATAGTGAAACTTGTACCTCTGCATTCATTTCTATGTATTTAATTTTTCAGGAATTCTTTGGGTGACTATAAATCTGTTCACTTGTAGTTCCATACTTCTAAGAGTTTATGTAGTTAGAGGCAAATACATTCAGAGTAACTTAAAGTGATACTTCATACTGTACGTATAAGTTAAGTTTTCAGGCAGACAGTATTTTCAACTCTTTGTTGTTGTTTGGAGTAACTACAGTTTCTTCATTCTGAGTTCTTTGAAGTGCATGGATATTCCTGAGTTTTGCAAGACTAAAGTATTTTATGGAGTAACAGTCCTAAGTAATTTTTTAGAGGAATAGTCCTTTTCTTTTAAAAACAAAAATAAAGGGACACCTGGGTGGCTCAATCGATTAAGCCGCTGCCTTCGGTTCGGGTCATGATCCTGGGGTTCTAGGAGGGAGTCCCACATCGGGCTCCTTGTCCAGCAGGGAGCCTCCTTCTCTCTCTGCCTCTGCCTGCCACTCTGCCTGCTTGTGCTCTCTCTCTGACAAATAAATAAATAAAATCTTTAAAATAAACAAAAAAACCCCCCAAAACAGTGTGCTTTTAAAAAGCTTGAGGTGGATTTCTGTTTATATATGGAAAGTAAAAAATAAATGTTTTTGTTTGGCGTCTTTTAATTTCAGAGTGAGGCATATTTTATTTGCCAACCACCAAATGACAGAAATCTTGTCTTGGCTCCTGTTGTGTGACAGAAGGTGCTCATTGAGTCTCTAGAGAGAACTCTGTGAAAAGAGGAAAAATTACTTAAATAAATGAGGCTCCTTTCACTCTTCAGTCCCCTCTGTGTTAAGTGTAATTTGGAAAATGTTAGAATTATAAAACTGTAAAGCTGGAAGAGCCTTAGTCATCTTATATTCACATTCCTCTTTTTACTAATGAGGAATTTGATCAATAGAGATTTCAGTAACTTCTTAGTACCACATTTCATGGCAGTATAGTTAAAATTTAATCATTATGAAATCAAATAGAAGGTCAAAGGATTAAGACAAAACTCAGTATGTATTTGGCTGGACCATAGAAGCTAGAAACAAGTCCGGGCCCAACCTTTTCCATTTACTATGGGTAAAGACTTTGACGTTTCAGGGCTTCAGATTCCTCAGTTTGGAAATAGTAGTTGCCCTGCATGTTTAATAAGGCTATTCTTATGATCATAAGTTAAGATGTAGGCTTACATAATACTGGATGGTTTTCAGATATAAGATTGTGCAGTATCATTTCCGTTTTACGAAATGCTTGCACTTCAGATCTCTGCTTTTTTTAATAAAGAAAATTCTCGAGCATTGACATCTGTTCACTGGTTACCGTGGACTGTTTCCTCTTTTCTTCTAGGGACCTTATAAATTACCCCAGGCTTTAAGGACATAAGATTGTATTTTTTTCCATGCAACCACATTCTGTTTTAAAGTTAAGTGTATTAAATTCCCTAAGAGCCTTGCTGTCCTTGTAATTTAATGCTGTATTTCATCAAGTCTAAAATGTACTTGATTATCTGGGCTCTGATTTTAAGATGCACTAAAAAGCAAAACACACTGCCAGAGTATGACACAGTAGGAAGATGCATCTGTTTCATTCATTTAACAGGGATGTTAAAGTGAGGAAAAAGTGTGCTTTATGCAATCAGTGAAGTACGCAGAGATTGGAATCCACTGTTCAGTAACCTTTGTGTAATACATATACTTGTTCTTTGACTTTACTCTTGTTTTCCTTTTACGGGAGAAGAGGGAAGGAAAGGTAGATCTGGAAAGGTAGATGACATTTTTTGGCTTCTTTGAATAAGATAAATGTTTCTTTAGAAGAACCTTGGACTTTTCCTGGAGTTCAAGATTACACTTCTCAAAGGTCAGTTCCCAAATCACCATCTTCAGCACATTCCTGGGAACTTGTTAGAAATACATATTATCAGGACTTATCCCAGATATACTAAATCTGAAAGCCTCCTGCGTGATTCTTATACATAATGAACCCTAAGAACCACCAACTAAGAACTGTAACATACGCCTTTGCTTCTTTAATGTGAAGTAATAAAAAGTGAGAAACTCAGAAGAAACCAAATCATAGCTCTTTTATATTTTCTCAGGGATCTTTATGGTATTTATCCTGTGTAAATTGTTTTCTGATTGTGTCTACTAGACTTGGCATGTTCTCTCTTCTTTACAAATCAGTCTTTGTAGGGCTGTTTTCTTGCCAAAATTCAAAGAAAATATTTTGCTGGCTGAAATCCTTGTTTTCATAGATCAGTTGGCTTGGGGCCAGGTTTTACCACTGAGAGCCTAGATGATTTTTCCTTCAATTTTTAAAATGTTTGGAATGGTTGAACTAAGGAAAAAATATCTTTAAGAGTTTACCATTATGTGGTCTCCTTTTTTTTTTTTTTTAAAGATTTTATTTATTTATTTGACAGACAGAGATCACAAGTAGGCAAAGAGGCAGGCGGAAACAGGCTCCCTGCTGAGCAGAGAGCCCAATGTGGGGCTCGATCCCAGGACGCCAGGATCATGACCTGATCTGAAGACAGAGGCATTAACCCACTGAGCCACCCAGGTGCCCCCCCCTTTTTTTAAAGATGTTATTTATTCACTTTAGAGAGAGCACCTCTGCAAATGGGGAGGGAAAGGGACAGGCAGACTCCGAGGAGAGCCCAATCTGGGGCTCTATCACACTACTTTGAGATTATGACCTGATCAGAAACCAGGTCCAGGGTCCCCCGCCCCATGCTGTTTCTGTCAGCCCTTTCATTTCAGATTTTTCGTATGGTAGGAATACCTAATTTAGGTGGCTTTTTATTTTTTTTTCCTCTTCCTCTTCTTCTTCTTTTTTTTTTTTTTTTTTTACTATTTATTTATCTCAGAGAAAGAGAGCACAAGCGTGCATGTGCATACAAGCTGGAGGGGCAGAGGGAGCGAGAGAAAAAAAATCTCAAGCAGACTCCCCGCTGAGTATGGAGCCCAATACTGGACTCAGTCTCACAATTCTGAGATCAGGACCCGAGCTGAAACCAAGAGTCAGAGGCCTAACTGTGCCACCCAGGCGCCCTGTGGTGGCCATCTTTAAAAAACAAAAACAAAAACAAAAACAAAAAAAACATAGTGCTAAATTATTCTGCTGAACTAAGGACTAACAAAGATCTTTAGTTATTGTATGCTTGTTTAAAGTGTATTGTTTTTTTTTAAGATTTTATTTATTTGAGAGAGAGGGAGCAAGAGAGGGCATGAGCATGGGAGTAGCAGAGGGAGAAGGAGAAACAGACTTCCTGCTGAGCAAGGAACCCCATGTGGGACTTTATCCCAGGACCCTGGGATCATGACCCCAGCCAAAGGCAGACACTTAACCCACCGAGCCACCCAGGCACCGTGCTTGTTTGAAGTTTTTGATATCTCAGAATAGGTGACCATAGCCCTTGAAGTAAAAAGACTGCGAATTGATAAAATACAATAATTTTTTTTTTAAGTAGGCTGCACACCAAACCTGGGCTTAAACTTATGACCCTGAGATCAAGAGTCACATGCTATACTGACGTAGCAAGCAAAGTGCCCCTAATAAAACTTTTCTTTTCTCTCTCTCTCTCTCTCTTTTTTTTTTAAAGATTTTATTTATTTGACAGAGAGAGAGAGAGAGAGAGCGATCACAAGCAGGCAGAGAGGCAGGTAGAGAAAGAGGAGGAAGCAGGCTCCCAGCTGAGCAGAGAGCCTGATATAGGGCTTGATCCCAGGACCCTGAGATCATGACCTGAGCCGAAGGCAGAGGCTAAACACACTGAGCCACCCAGGCGCCCCCCTAATAAAACATTTTATTGGTGGTTTTTAAAATAGTAAATGTTGATTTTATTCAAGAGTTTGGGAAATTTGGTGTTACCCATCTTTGGGAAGAATGGAAGTTTTTAAACTGGTTTGGAAACAACTTTTTTTTTTTCTAAATAGTTGTTCCTTTTAATTTCATTGTGTATGGAATTTTTTCTTTGCCATGTAAGAACATAGATTAGTTTAAAATATTTAGTTTCTTTTTCTTTTTTCCCTTATCTTCTGTGTTAGGGCTTCCCCCACCAATGTTAAATTTAACTTGTCTGTTAAGGTAAATTTGGAGTTAACTCAGGAACATTTACCAGTTTGCTTAAACTTGGATTGTTATTACTGTCAAGACCACATGTATTTTTCCTCCACATAAATTCTTGTGAAATGTGAATTCTCTAATTCAGACCTATCAGAATATGATAAATCAATGAGATTTGAAAGAAAACTTGGGATTACAAACTGAAGACCAAAATTGTCAACTTGTGAACATATTGGTGGAATACAGCCAAATAGTTAATCAGGGCGTAAAAAATTCATAAGCTTCAAACTAATTGTACATTTTTATAAAATGGAGAACGTAATTAAAATTGCTGTTTATTCAAATCTAAATCTATTTGACTAGGTATATCCTTACAGTATCACCTTAGGTTCTTTTTCTTGGATAAGATGAATAAAACCTTTCTTTTTTCTTTTTTAAAGATTTTATTTATTTATTTGACAGAGAGAGACACAGCGAGAGAGGGCACATGAACAAGGGGAGTGGGAGAGGGAGAAGCAGGCTTCCCACTGATCAGGTAGTCTGATGTGGGGCTTGACCTGAGCCAAAGGCAAACGCTTAATGACTGAGCCACCAAGGTGCCCCAGTAAAATGTTTTCTTAAGTGATATAATTATTGACGCAGCTTGATCTTTGTTTTAACTTAAGAATTATCTAATAAATATGGGACATGAAGCAAACTACTTAGAGTGGAAGTATTTATTGAACAATAATGGTGACTAATTTTGTAGAGAGAATATTTTCAAAACATGTAATCCTTTGTTCTCCTATTCACCTTTTAGGAGGAAGTTAATGTTCCCAATAGGCGGGTTCTGATTACTGGTGCCACCGGGCTTCTTGGCAGAGCTGTGTATAAAGAATTTAAGCAGAATAATTGGCATGCCTTTGGCTGTGGTTTTAGAAGAGCAAGACCAAAATTTGAACAGATTAATCTTTTGGATTCTGAAGCGGTTCATCACATCATTCATGATTTTCAGGTATGGTTGTCTGTTTTAACACATATATAAACTATGCTAAGAATTGTCTGTAAACTATATTAACAATTGTCTGGGTGATTTAGAAAATGTTCTTGCTCTCAAGAGACTTACTGTACTTAAGCTCTAACCTATTAAGCAGCAAGAGTATGCAGTTGACCCTTGAACAGTGCAGGGCTTAGGAGTGCTAATCCCTGCATAGTTGAACATCTTTGTATAACTTTTTACTTCCTCAAAACAATTGCTAATAGCCTACTATTGACTGGAAGCCTGGTTGATTAACACATATTTTACGTATGTGTTATATACTATATTCTTATAATAAAATAAGCTGTGGAGAAGAAAATGTTACTGAGAAAATAGATTTATGGTATTTTATTTATTTAAAAATATCCACATATAAATAGACTCGTAATTCAAACCCATGTTCCACGATCAAGTGTATAGTGCACTTTTTTTTTCTTTTAGCATGGCAAAGTATATGCAGTCATTCAAAAGATTGGGTTGAAACACAGGTTGACAAAACTTGGGAATTAAAAAAAGCATTTTATAAAAAGTTTATGTTTGTGAGGTTCTCTTGTTAAATATGACTTTCTATGCAAATGCCTGTTTAATATTATCTGTAAACCCATAACACTGCAAAGTAGATATTATCATTTCCATTTTAGAGATGACAAAGGCTCGGGTTAAATAACTTGTTGACCATTGCTGTAGTAAAGTTACTGAAAAATTTAACTTCTGTTCTACCTCTGATCAAATTGTGAGAGTTAAAGTTCTTTTCAACAATGTCCAAGGGACACCTGCATTAGTCACTTGGGGAATTCATTATTTAGATCCCATTTCCAGAAATTTTAACTCAGTAAGTCTGTGTGGGGCCCAGGACGTTGTAAGATGCACCAGATTATGCATGTTCAAGTTTTTTTTTTTTTTTAAGATTTTATTTATTTATTTGACAGAGAGAGATCACAAGTAGGCAGAGAGGCAGGCAGAGAGAGAGGAGGAAGCAGGCTCCCCGCTGAGCAGAGCCCGATGCAGGGCTCGATCCCAGGACCCTGAGATCATGACCTGAGCCGAAGGCAGCGGCTCAACCCGCTGAGCCACCCAGGCGCCCCGCACATTCAAGTTTTAAAGCAACTCTAAGATTATGCTTCCTCAGCAGTTGTTAAGAATGGAGATAGTACGGCATGTTTTTGTGTTAGCCCTGCCTGTCAGTAGTTTTACCGAATCTTCGCCTGGGTTCATCTTCTCTGGGAAGTAGATACCCCTCCTTAACAAAAGACCCTGTGCATTCCTATATCTTCAATTTAGTTATTATTATTATTATTTTTAAGTAAGCTCTAGGCTGCGCATGAGGCTTGAACTCATTACCCCAAGATCAAGAATCACATCCTCTACTGACTGAGCCAGCCAGGTGCCCCATTCCTCTGTCTTGATATATGTCACATACTACTGAAACAGTCTCTTTACATATCCTTCTTTTCCAGTAGATTATGAAATCCTTGCTCCTTGCACAGTGGTTAGTATACAGGCAACAAACTAAATGAATAGTTAACATTTTGTTGTTGTTGTTTAAGATTGGATTTATTTGACAGAGAGAGAGAGATCACAAATAGGCAGAGGGGCAGGCAGAGAGAAAGAGGGAGAAGCAGACTCCCTACTGAACAGGGAGCCCAAGATGGGTCTCAGTCCCAGGACCCTAAGATCATGACCTGAGCCGAAGGCAGAGGCTTAACCCACTGAGGCACCCAGGCGCCCAATAGTTAACATTCTTTAAATGGTTGATATAAGAGATTTGAATTTATCTATTTAATTTGAAATTGGTATTCTTTTACCATAAATTATTTAGATCATATTAATTGTATAAATGTTAGCTCTTTTCTCCCATCCAAATGAGAGAATAAAGCTTATTTTGATGGAAAAGTAATAGTTGTTGACATTGTGTTTATTTGGTTTTGCCTAGAGATTACTAAATTGCTCTTTCCTTTTCAGGGCCTACACTTATTTATTTATTTATTTATCTGTCTGTCTATCTCTTAAAGATTTATTTATTTATTTGAGAGAGAGAGATCACAAGTAGGCAGAGCAGCAGGTCGAGAGAGTGGGGGAAGCAGGCTCCCTGCTGAGCAGAGAGCCCGATGCAGGGCTGGATCCCAGGATCCTGAGATCATGACCTGAACTGAAGGCAGAGGCTTAATCCACTGAGTCACCTAGTAACCTCACCTACATTTATTTTAAGGAAGTTTGAAATTTGGAAAAGAGAAGCATGGCAAAACTATTATAGCAATTCTAAAAAAAAAAAATTAAAAAAATTATAGCGATTATTTACTTGAAGGAATGTTGATTTAGCAAACTTTTTTTATGAATTGAGTTACTGTTGGAAGGCTGTAGCTCCCCTGTTTTATTCCTTTTGGGTTAAAATACATCAGTGGGGTGCCTGGGTGGCTCAGTGGGTTAAAGCCTCTGCTTTCGGCTCAGGTCATGATCCCAGGGTCCTGGGATCGAGCCCCACATCGGGTTCTCTGCTCAGCAGGGAGCCTGCTTTCCTTCCTCTCTCTCTGCCTGCCTCTCTGCCTACTTGTGATCTCTGTCAAATAAATTAAAAAAAAAAAATTAAAAAAAAATACATCAATGTTTACCTTCCAGCCCCATGTCATAGTACACTGTGCAGCAGAGAGAAGGCCAGATGTTGTGGAAAATCAGCCAGATGCTGCTTCTCAGCTTAATGTGGATGCTTCTGGGAATTTAGCAAAGGAAGCAGGTAATAAATGATGACTTTATAAAATCTTTGCAAAATATTAAATAATTGCTGAGTTTATAAAAGTCAAAGGTTTCTAAATCGCTTAGAAGAGATTTGTTTATATATGATGAATAAGCTATTATAAATGCCAGTGCAGTGATGTTATGTAATAATTTGATAGATTATTTTATTTCTTTTATGTCTGTCTTTTTTAGCTTTAATTGGAGCGTTTCTAATCTACATTAGTTCAGATTATGTATTTGATGGAACAAATCCACCTTATAGAGAGGAAGATGTACCAAGTCCCCTAAATCTGTATGGCAAAACGAAATTAGAAGGAGAAAAGGCTGTCCTAGAGAACAATTTAGGTAAGACAAATATCTTTAGCTCCTGATAGTTTTGATTGTTTTGAGGATTCCTTTTATGATATTGAGAAACACACACACACACACACACGCACGTATGTATATATATACATATACATATATATGGTATGCTATATATAAGACATAGAAAATTTTGAAAAAATTAGCATAAATCATTGGAGGAAAAATTAGAGAATGTAGTTAATAAAAATGAAAAATAAGAATTTTAGAAATCGTGATGAATTTATGAATCCTTGCAGACTTTTTCCAGTATTAGTATATACATGAATGTCACTGTATAGGGGCACCTGGCTGGCTTAGTCAGTAGAATATGTAATTCTTGATGATCTTGGGGTCGTGAGTTCAATCCCCATATTGGGCGTAGAGCTTAGATTTTAAAAAATGTTACTGTATAAAGGACAGGAATCTTATAGTATAAATATTTGTAATATACTTTCAAAAAACAGGTCTGTATCCTTTCTCCTAGATTGAGGTATTTGTTATTTTTTGTACAATTTTTAAATTTATTTATTTCTTTTTTTTAAGATCTGGAGAGATAAGAGGGTTGGGGGGAGGGGCAGGTGGAGAAGGAAAGAGAGAATCTCAAGCAGGCTTCATACCCAGTGTGGAGCCCAGGGCAGGGCTTGATCTTACAACACTGAGATCATGACCTGAGCCAAAATCAGGAGTCAGATGCTTAACTGACTGAGCCACCAAGGTGCCCCAGGTTTTGAATTTCTGTTTGTATGGCTCTTCTTTCCCCCTATATGTGTTTGTGTATATACACACACATATATGTGCTGAATATAAAAAGTAATATCCTTATTGGAAAAAAAAATAAATCAAAATTGTAAAGGGTAGAAGTTCTTTTATAATCTTGCCTCTGAGGAGCACCAAATGTGGTTAGGTATGAAAGCATTTTTTGTGAATTTTCTAAAAACGGAGGATTTCGTTTTCTAATCTGGTCCCTCGAATATTTGTCTTTCACTACATATTGAGTCATCTCTGGATTATCTTTTCCTATCAGTGGTGCATAGTATACTTGATTTAATGATTCCTTGCACTGCCTTAGACTATACAGTCTTTGAGAAGCATCCTGTAGTGTAGATTCCATGCTTACGGCATTTAGATTTCCAGGTGGGGTTTTTTTCCCCTTTGGTATTATAAATTATCCTGCAGGAATCATCCTTGAATACATATCTATACGTGGTTATCCAATATGTTAATTTAATTAAAAAGTTGTTAATTTTCAGTTAAAGTGTTCATTATCCAAAGCCTGTTGTAACTGCTCAGTAGGGGCCTACATAAAATCTGAAAGCTCATAATTCCTTAATCAGTGGTTCCAAGAATAATGTGGTGAAACACTCACATAACTTTTATATAGATTCACCACTTGTTAATGTGTCGTGGTTGTATGTATGTGTGTTTTTCACCGAACTTGTTGGGAATTAGTTTAAATTCACCCCAAAATATTTCACCATGCTGTTTATCTTTTTTAAAAGATTGATTGATTGATTGATTTTGGGGTGGCGGGGAGCAAAGGGAGAGAATCTTTAGGCAGATTTCCCACCGAACACAGAGCCGTATGTGGGGCTCAGTCTCACAACCCTGAGATCATGACCTGAATCGAAACCAAGGGTCAGACACTAAACTGACTAGGCCTCCCAGGCACCCCATTGCTATTTATCTTCTAAGAAGAATGTTCTTTACATAATTAAAGTGTAGTTATCACACTCAGGAAATTTAACATTAATATGGTGTTATACTATAATATATCATCTATGTAGGAATTTTCCCACTTGTCCCAATAATGTCCTTCATTGCATTTTATTTTTTAATCTAGGATCCAGTCAAGGATCACTCATTGCATTTAGTTGTCATATCAGTTTAATTTGTTCATTATTATGACTGTTAAAAATAATATATAAAAATACCCCAAATGACAGAGACCTTTAAAAATACTCAGTATAATATTTGTTAAATGGGCGTTATTATAGATGAACTATGTCATTTTGGCATATTGCAAGTTTTCTACCACAGTATTTTTTTTTTAATTTTTATTTTTTTTATTTGAGAGGGCGTAGGTATGCAAGCACAAGCAGGGGGAACAACAGAAAGTGAGGGAGGAGCAGGTTCTCTGCTAAGCAGGGACCCTGACGTTGTGGGGCTCCATCCCAGGATCCTGGGATCATAACCTGAGCTGAAGGCAAATGCTTAACCCAGTGAGCCACCCAGGCATCCCCCTTTGGCAGTATTATTTAAGTCTACATACTTTCATTTAATATCAAGATTTAAGAACCAGTCAGCTTTAAAAAATTACCTGTTTTTATTAATTCCTAGGAGCTGCTGTTTTGAGAATTCCTGTTCTGTATGGAGAAGTTGAAAAACTTGAAGAAAGTGCTGTGACTGTTATGTTTGATAAAGTGCAGTTCAGTAACAAGTCAGCTAACATGGACCACTGGCAGCAGAGGTTCCCTACACATGTCAAAGATGTAGCTACTGTATGTCGCCAGTTAGCAGAAAAGAGAATGCTGGTGAGAATCTTTGGAAGGAGGAGTTCTTAACTGCCATCAACAAGTGAAAATCAAAGTGTTTTTGTTTCCTTTATTATTATACATAATAATATATATCTTTATAATAATATAAATAAATGCAAGTTTTTTTTTTTTAAAGATTTTATTTATTTATTTGACAGACAGAGATCACAAGTAGGCAGAGAGAGAGGAGGAAGCAGGCTCCCTGCTGAGCAGAGAGCCCGATGCGGGGCTCGATCCCAGGACCCTGGGATCATGACCTGAGCCGAAGGCAGAGGCTTAACCCACTGAGCCACCCAGGTGCCCCAATAACTACAAGGTTTTATGTAAAACTTTTTTCAAACTACAGGGCGACCAAATGAAAGTAGTTTGCAGATAGTAGGCTATATTTGTGAATAGTAAAAATATTATGCTCTTGTGTTTGAATTTTTTTCTCATACACTATGGACTCTGTCTCTGACTAGAATATTAATAGAAAGGTGAGAATGATTGATTTTAGGATGTTAATAATAGTTTGTAGTTTTTTAACATACAAAAATGTATATTTTAAATATGTACTATGGAACTATTTAAGGATATCATGCCTAATTAGCTCATACTGCAAAATGGTTCTGTTACATTTTGATTTAGCTGAGGATAATTAGAAATACTCATTAAATTGGCCTGTGTTTCTGTAAAAATCTGTAATCATTCTTACGATTCCCACTAAATAAAATTTGGAGCCATTTATATTTTTATTAAAAAAATTCTTAAGCCTAAATTCTAGAAATTGTTTCTCATGCTTAGCTGGGTATATTTATAGGAATTTGATTTTAGATGTCTCCTGGGGAGCATTCCAGAAAGGAGGGATGCATTTTAATTCCTGCACTTTTAAATTAGTTTTTTTGTCCAATCTGTTATTCCACTCAACTCAAAAAGTTGAAACTGTTTTGAATTTTTATGTCGTTATTAGGATCCATCAATTAAGGGAACCTTTCACTGGTCTGGCAATGAACAGATGACTAAGTATGAAATGGCATGTGCAATTGCAGATGCCTTCAACCTTCCCAGCAGTCACTTAAGACCTGTAAGTACATGGTGTTTTATTTTTATTTTTATTTTTTTTTTAAGATTTTATTTATTTGTCAGAGAGGAAGAGAGAGAGAGACAGCACACAAGCAGGGAGAGAGGCAGGCAGAGGCAGAGAGAGAGAAGCAGGCTCCCCGCTGAGCAAGGAGCCTGATGCGGGACTCGATCCCGGGACCCTGGGGTCATGACCCGAGCCGAAGGCAGCGGCTTAACCCACTGAACCACCCAGGCGTCCCGTACATGGTGTTTTAAACCTCACTTGTTGAAAGCCCAGGTCTGTCACTATATTTGTTTTTTTTTGTTTGTTTGTTTTGTTTTTTTTGTATTACTGATAAAACTTTTAATGTTGCTTTAGAAATACTGGGTAACTTCATTTTTTGGTACTAATTAAAGTGAACTTGTAAGTTGGTGGTTTATATTATTACTTGTCTCTAAATTATCCTGTACAAGGAAGCCCATGAGTATTGGTGAAGTTTATAGGAAAAGTCTTATCTTGATTATTTGTATTTTTCCAGGGATCAGATCAGATGTGCAGTTAAGGGCAAAGTGAAATAGAGACTATAAAACTGCAACATAGATGTATTTATTTTTAATTTTTTTGTTTTATTTTTCTTTAAAGATAACTGACAGTCCCGTCTTAGGAGCACAACGTCCAAGAAATGCTCAGCTTGACTGCACCAAATTAGAGACCTTGGGCATTGGCCAGAGAACACCATTTAGAATTGGAATCAAAGAATCACTCTGGCCTTTCCTCATTGACAAGAGATGGAGGCAAACGGTCTTTCATTAGTGTATGTGCAGTTTGTTTTTTTTTTTTAATTGAGAAGTATAGTATGTGGCACTTTTTAAAGAAAAAAGGAAATAATTTTGTATGAGTGCTCTTTAATTGTGACTCATGATCTTTCAGGTAAATGATGCTCTTGCACTAGTGAAATTGTAAAGAAACTAAGGGCAATAATGCCTCAGTTGAAGTAATGATTTTTCTTTTTATCATTTTGTTCTGGCTTAACTTTGTTTGAGTATAGTAAATTATGATTCTTCAATATTTACGAGCCAGGATGAGACAGATCTACTGTAGACTTTCTCTAGGATGAAATGCATTATTCATTCCTATAACCTCTACATTTTCAGGACTTTTGCAACTGTTGACCTTTTTTATGTTTTAAAGTGAGTTAAGTAGTACAAAAATCATTGGTGTTCATTATTTGCATTGCTTGAGCTCTGATCAAAATGTTTGAAGAAAGAAACTTTATTTTTGCAACTTACATGCAGTTTTTAAGCTTGAGATATTTCAACGTGTTATGTATATTGGAACTCCTGTAGCCTGATGCCTCCTGCTTTTGTAGCAGTGTATGGTGAGCAATTGACAGAGAGTGTGTGTGTATGTGTATGTATTTTTTTAATATGTGTAAAACTGTCCTTTTCACTCCATGTCACTAAGTGATATTTCATATCTGTGGTTATACTAATAATGATGGGCCTTGTAAGTCTTTTGGCCATTCAAGAGTAATAAATATGTACTGTTGGCATGGTAACGCTTAGTTTTCTTTTATTTACTTTATAACCATAAGGACCACGCATCTAAACTCACTGTTATTTGTTGCTTTAATTTTTAAAAATTACATTCTTATGTAACATCTGATGCATATAAGAAAATACAGTTGATACCTATTGAGATATAAATAATAAAATGGACCCTGGTGAACTCTGCTTGAGACCTAGAATGTTACAGATATTGTATCTACTTGTGCCATCTGATTGTTTTTTAAAAAGAACTATGTAATCTTGCCACATGTTTACATAGGATGTTCCTTCTGAAGAATGCAGAGTATTTGAATGTATTATCTATGCAGAGTAACATTGAAGTGACCTTAGCCTCAAGGATATTTTTGGTCCTTAATAAGGAATCAGCATGGTAGAATGAAGTGTATGACTTGGTTTCTCTTGAGGGTTCATTGTGAATCCTGGTTTTCTGATTTCACTTCTGGGGTATCCTTTCCCTAGGTTATGATTTTGTCATCCATTGGACAAAAAGTACTTCTAAAAAAAAGTATTTCTAAGTTCCTAATTTACTTAGAGTTTTAGGTTTAGAAAGAATCAGGTTTTGATGATTTGTTTAAAGGACCAATTCCCACACCATGTTATATTTTGTAATTAGGGAAATTTTGGTGGTACCTAACCCCTAACCTGGACTCACTGAAATAGAATTTCTGGAATTGAGACCTGCTAATTTAATTTTAAATTTTCTCTGGATGCTTCCAAAGTAAGCAGCCTGGTACTTGGATTTGGCAACCACTGGATTAAAGCTCCTTTTTTTTCCCCTTTTTTTTTAAAGTTATTTAATTGCACATAGGACAAAACTGAAAAGTTTCAGAGTAAAAAACCTTTCTCATTCTTCTCTAGCTACTGATTTTCCATCTGTGGAAGAAATCAATGTAGATCAGATCCTGGTATGTTTCTGCAGGCACTCTGTATAGTAAGATAAGAATACACTCATTACATGTGTATGTCACCGTCCCTTCTTTATACAAATAGCATCATAAAATAAAAATTTTTCTGTGCTTTTAAAAACTTTATATGCCTTAGAGTTTATTCCAAATTAGTTATAAAGAATGTCTATGTTTTTTGTTTTGTTTTGTTTTACTATTCACTTTGAAATTTCAATCCTTTTTTTTAAGATTTTATTTTTAAGTGATCTCTACATCCAATATGGGGCTCGAACTCACAACCCTGAGATCAAGAGTCGTGTGCTCCACTGATTAAGCCCATCAAGAGCCCCTGAAATTTCAATCTTAACAGAAAAGTTGTCATAATAGCACAAGAATGTCTGTATTCCCCTTCCATAGTTCGCAATTATCAACATTTAGCCACATTTATCCTATCATTTTCTCTTTTCTTTACATACACAAAGTATGTTTTTTTTTTCTGAGCTGTTCAGAGTAAATTGCAGACATGATTCCAAGTCACCCACCTGCTATATAAGCATCAGTGTATAATTCTTAAAAATCAAGATGCTCTTCCACATAACCCCATAATATAACCATCAGAATCAAGAAATTAACATTGATACACTATTATCTAGTCCACAGACCCCATTCACATGCATTGTGTCAGTAATGTCCTTTATAAGTCTATCCAGTCCAGGATTATTTGTGGCATTTCTTACCATTTTGGTTAGGATTCAACCTGCAACAGTTATTCAGTGTTGTGTTCTCTTTCATGATCTTGACTTTTTCTGACATCTCTCTATAAAAGAAATTCACATTGATACTTCAGTGCCAATATCGCTCCATTCTTTTCTGTGCAGCTCCATTCTCTGATGTGAGAAATCTAGTTCCCGTAATTCTTAATATCCTTACCACTTGGCTCAAGTTATCTATAGGAACCATTCTGATCACACAGTTTTCCTGCTACCCTCATCACAGACCTCCATGAGCCAATTGAGCATCTCTGACACCTGGGCCATGGCCCCGATGACAGTGACCATGACAATTACTGTACCTAGTTGAGGCCACTCTTTCCCTCCCCGAGCCCACACTGTGTACTGCACCAACAGCCACAGGAGCTACCACAAACCTACCTGCAGAGCACCAAAGGGAAGGAACTAGGTATTCTTCGACGGCAGTATATATATCAATGAATGAACCACAATTTTTTTAATTATTAGTTTCTTTAATGATGGACTTTAGATTGTGTGGAATTTTAGAGCATGCTTTTAATGAGCCCAATGTATAAAACATTCAAGTTTGTGAGACCTTCTGTTCTACTGTATATCCACAGATCATAACCAAAAGCTCATAGGAAGCTGAAAGGAAAAGAGCTTGATCAATCAACCTGAATGTGTGAAGAACAGAATGTATCTTAAATATTTCTCAGACTATTTTTGTTACATGTTTAAACCACTGTCCTATGTAGTTAAAGGTATTTGCTTATTTTGAGTTTTAATATAAAATAATAATCATTTGAGACACTTTCAGCAGGAAATAGGAAACATTCAACTGTGCATTAAAACCTTTGGGATAAATTACTGTTAGAGTCTAAATTCTGTCTCTTTGCAAACCACATCATATCATTAGCCTTAAATAAGGCAGTAGATTTTACTTCAACTGTATAGATTAGTCAAGAGAGAATTTTCTAACTTGAGGACCGTATTAGGTGTAGCAAATAAGAAACAGCCAAATCTGATTTCGAATGTGGTTCTACCGCTTGCTTCTGGCAAGTTAATTTTCCTTTGAGTTTCAAGTTTCCTTTTAGGGTTAAGTGGGAGTAATATTACCTATTTCACAGGTTATAGTGTGGAAATGCCTAGAGCACAGGTGATTAACAGAAAGTAGCAGTGGACTTACCAAGTGCCTAGAGGAAGAGCTTGGGGATGTGTGGAGGAGCCTGTGCTTTTACACTCTTGAGCTAGCTATACTTTCTGACATAAGACAACAGGAGTTTTCCTCCATAAATAGAATTACAAGTGGGTTTTTTTTTTCATGATTTTTTAATATTTTCTGAGTTTTCTATAATGAGCATTTAATATTTTAGAAATAAATTTTAAAAGATTTTTATTTATTAGAGAGTGTGCAACTGAGGGAGGAACAGAGGGAGAGGGATAAGTTGACTCCGTGCTGACTCCCACAACCCGGAGATCATGATTCCAACCGAAATCAAGAGTCAGACACTTAACTGACTGAGGCACCTGGGAGCCTTTAAAAAATTTTAAAGAGGATAAATTATTCCTGTAACTTCTTTAGCCTAAGTACTTCTGAAATTCTGTATTTTGCCATGCAAATGAATTGAATTTATATGTTCCTAATTGTAATTTGAATTTAAATGTACCTAATTCTATCTCTAGAAATTGGATGTTAAAATTCCTGTATTTGTAATTGGTTTATTTATCTTTAAATTTTTATTTTTTTTAAGTAGGCTCTGCACCCAACATGGGGCTTGAACTCAGTGACCCTCAGACCGGGACTTGGATGCTCTACCGTCTGAGCCAGCTGGGTGTCTTCCCATACTCTTTTTTGCAACATTTGTAGGCGGCGTTTTGTTTTGTTTTGTTTTTGTTTTTGTTTTTCTATTTTTATTTTTATTTGTTTATTTAAAACACAAATATTTTAATTTCATCTTTAATCCAAATTACTTATTCATGAGAGTTCTGTACATAGCAGGAATTTCGTAGCTTCTATTTTAAATTATTTTTTAATTGCTGTGGGTTTTTTTAAAAAAATTTTATCTTTTATTAACATGTAACGTATTAGCCCCGGGGGTATAGGTCTGTGAATCGTCAGGCTTACACACTTTCCAGCACTCACCATAGCACGTAGCCTCCCCAATGTCTATAACCCGACCACCCTCACCCTACCCCCCTTCCCCCAGCAACCCTCAGTTTGTTTTGTGAGATTAAGAGTCTCTTATCGTTTGTCTCCCTCCCGATACCATCTTGTTTCATTTTTTTCCTTCCCTACCCCCCAAACCCCCTACTTGGCCTCTCAACTTCCTCATATCAGGGAGATCATATGATAATTTTCTTTTTCTGATTGACTTATTTCGCTCAGCATAATACCCTCTAGTTCCATCCACGTAGTTGCAAATGGCAAGGTTTCGTTTCTTTTGATGGCTGCATAGTATTTCGTGTGTGTGTGTGTGTGTGTGTGTGTGTGTGTGTGTGTGTATGTATGTGTGTATCACATCATTTTTATCCATTCAGCTATTGATGGACATCTAGGTTCTTTCCATAGTTTGGCTATTGTGGACATTGCTGCTATAAGCACTAGGATGGACATGCCCCTTTGGATCACTACATTTGTATCTTTAAGGTAAATACCCAGTAGCACAATTGCTGGGTCATAGGTTAGCTCTATTTTCAACTTTTTGAGGAAACTTTGTGCTGTTTTCCAGAGTGGCTACACCAGCTTGCATTCCCACCAACAGTGTAGGAGGGTTTCCCTTTCTACACATCCTCACCAACATCTGTCATTTCCTGACTTGTTAATTTTAGCCATTCTGACTGGTGTGAAGTGGTATCTCATTGTGGTTTTGATTTTATTTCCCTGATGCCAAGTGATGTGGAAGCATTTTTTCATGTATCTGTTGGCCATCTGGATGTCTTCTTTGCAGAAATGTCTGTTCATGTCCTCTGCCCATTTCTTGATTGGATTGTTTGTTCTTTGGGTGTTGAGTTTGATTAGATCTTTATAGATTTTGGATACTAGCCCTTTATCTGATATGTCATTTGCAAATATCTTCTCCCATTCTGTCAGTGGTCTTTTGGTTTTGTTGACTGTTTCCTTTGCTGTGCAAAAGCTTTTGATTTTGATGAAGTCCCAATTATTTATTTTTGCCCTTGCTTCCCTTGCCTTTGGCGATGTTTCTAGGAAGAAGTTGCTGTGACTGAGGTCGAAGAGGTTGCTGCCCGTGTTCTCCTGAAGGATTTTGATGGATTCCTGTCTCACATTGAGATCTTTCATCCATTTTGAGTCTATTTTTATGTGTGGAGTAAGGAAATGGTCCAGTTTCATTTTTTGGCATGTGGCTGTCTAATTTTCCCAACACCATCTGTTGAAGAGACTGTCTTTTTTCCATTGGACATTCTTTCCTGCTTTGTCAAAGACTAGTTGACCAAAGAGTTGAGGATCTACTTCTGGGCTCTCTATTCTGTTCCATTGATGAATGTGTCTGTTTTTGTGCCAGTACCATACTTTCTTGATGACAGCTTTGTT